TGGATCTAGATGGTATAATGCTAAGTGAAAGAAGTCAGTCAGAGAAAGACAAATAGCATATAATTTCACTCATATATGGAATTTAAAAAACAAAACACATGGGGGCACCTGGGTGGCTCAGCCGGTTAAGCATGGACTCTTGATTTAGACTCAAGTCATGATCTCACAGGTCATGGGATTAAGCTCCACGTCAGGCTCTGTGCTGACAGCGTGGAGCCTGCTTGGGATTCTCTCTCTCCCTCTCTCTCTCTCTGCACCCCACCTCTCTCTCCCAAAATAAGTACACTTTAAAAAAACTATTTTAAAACAAAACAGAGGGGGGAAAAGCGACAAATAAAAGAAAAGAATCTTAAAAACAGAACAAATTGGTGGCTGCCAGAGGAGGGATGGGTGGGGGAAAAGACGAAACAGATAAAAGGGATTAAGAGCCCACTTATCTTGACGCACACTGAGTAATGTACAGAATTGTTAAATCATCATACTGTACACCGGAAACTGATGGAACACTGCACGTCAATATACTTCAGTTAAAAAAAGAAAAAAAAATGTACAAGAATATCCATTAACAGAATGGCTAAAAAATATTCTGGTAGGTTTATACACGGCAATGGAAGACAGAACTGCCACTATACCCAATATGAATGAATCTCACAGATGTAAAGTTGACCAAAAGAAACCTGATCCAAGATAGCATACACTACGATTCCATCTATATGAAGTTCAAGAACAGGTACAAATTGAGCTGTGGTTTTAGAACTGTGGTTTCCCAGGGGGGCGGGGGTTATCTGCTGGGAGGGACCACAGGGAGCATGCTGGTGGGCTGGAAATGTTCTGTATCTTAATCTGGGGCAGGGGATTTACATGGATGTATATCAAAATAAAAGAAACTGATTGAGGTGTATGCTTCAGATTTATATTCTTTACTGCATATGAGTTAGATCTCAAAAAAAAGAACATTAAGTATTTATTTTAAAGAAATTACAGAAATGCAGCAAGGTTAATGCATCACATTCAAGATTGTCAGAAAACCAGTATACCATTCCCAAGTTGCACTAAAAATTAGTCTTGGGATTTTCCTCATTTGCAAAATTGGAATAGTAGTATCAACCAACCTCATATAGCAATTCAGAGAATTAGACAATGTATAAATATCTTTGCACTCCTATAAGAGAAGTCCTATATAAATATAAGGTAGTATTTGTGGAGTGTTCTAAGATCTCATTTTCACTTAAGTAATCTCTTAGAGATACTTCTTCCTTTCCTTTAAAATACAATAACTATGGGTGCCTGGATGGCTCAGTCGGTTAAGCGTCTGACTTCAGGTCATGATCTCGCGGTTCACGAGTTCAAGCCCCACATCGGGCTCTGTGCTGACAGCTCAGAGTCTGGAGCCTGCATTGGATTCTCTGTCTCTCTGTCTCTCTGTCTCTCTCAAAAATAAAGCACTAAAAATAAATAAATAAATAAATAAATAAATAAATAAATAAATAAATGAATGAATGAATAAAATAAAATAAAATGTAATAACTAAAACCCATAAAGTAAATGAAAGAGGAACTATGAGTTAGGCCAAAAACAAATTGATAAATTGGGACCAAAGCAGGGTTGCCCATTCTTTCCATGACCTTTCTGATGGGGAATTGTCATTAAACTGAAAAGTCAATATTTATCTTTATTAAAGCTTCCTGAAAGATTCCAGAATCTACCTAGGACAGGATTTTCAATTCCAGACACTCCAAGCAAAGATTTATAAAGTTTTAAATCCAATAATACCATCCTGCTTATCTCCTTTTTTGAAAGTTATTAATAAAACAAATAATGTTGCAATCATCTGTATGGATATCAATAGCATGGTTCAAATCATAGTTCCTCTAAATCAGAGCTGTCCAGTGAGGTAGCCACTAGCCACATGTGGCTATTGAGCACTTGAAATTTGGCTAATTTGAATTGATTTGCCCTCCAAGTATAATATACACACCATTTTCAAAATTTTGTACCAAAAAAAGAACGTAAAGTATCTCATTAATGTTTATATTGATTACATGTCAAAATGTATTATTTTTAATGCACTGGGTTAAAGAAAATATATTACAATGAATTTAACCTGTTTATTTTTAGTATTTTTAATATGGCTAATAGAAAGCTTTAAATTCTATGTAAGGCTTGCATTATATTTCTACTGGACAGCAGGGATCTAAAGAAAGATGGAAATTTTCATCTCAAGACAGAGTTTTCGAAAGGGTTTTAAGAATTAGGATTAAGAGGGGCGCCTGGGTGGCGCAGTCGGTTGAGCGTCCGACTTCAGCCAGGTCACGATCTCGCGGTCCGTGAGTTCGAGCCCCGCGTCAGGCTCTGGGCGGATGGCTCAGAGCCTGGAGCCTGTTTCCGATTCTGTGTCTCCCTCTCTCTCTGCCCCTCCCCCGTTCATGCTCTGTCTCTCTCTGTCCCAAAAATAAATAAAAATGTAGAAAAAAAAAATTAAAAAAAAAAAAAAAAAGAATTAGGATTAAGATTGCTTAAATGTTTTCCAGCCAAACTACCTGTCTTTGTCAAAGATTATAATCTATGTTTAATCTTTATAATCAACTGAGTTTTAGGATGGTTATATGAGGTTTGGCCTCCATGAAGTCACAGAACATTTACTGGTTTTCCGTGAGCCTTAAATAATATGTAAACCTGCAGTTCTAAAACATTTGGGGGCTTTGTACCGTTGAGGCAGAGAAAGGACCTTAACAGATCTCCAACATGACTTTCCAGGATACCCTAACCCAAAAGCTATATTCAATCAAGCAAAAATGATGCCGCTATGAATTGAATTGTGTTCCCCCAAATTCACAGGCCGAAGCCCTACCCCCCAATATGATGGTACTTAGAGGGCAGGACTTTGGGAGGTAATTAGGTTTAGATGAGGTAAGGAGGACAGGGTACCGATGATGGGATTAGAGTCCTTATAAGAAGAAGAAGAGGGGCGCCCGGACGGCTCAGTTGGTTGGGTGATCAACTCTGGATTTCGGCTCAGGTTGTGATCTCACAGTTCATGAGCTGGAGGCAGAGTCCAGCTCCACGCTGGTGGCGTGGAGCCTGCCTGGGATTCTCTGTCTCCCTCTTTCTCTGCCTCTCTCCTGCTTGCACTCTCTCTCTTCCTCTCAAAAAAAAGAAACAAAAAAAAAGAAGAGGAAGAGATCAGAATTTTCTCTCTCTCTCTCTCTCTCTCTCTCTCTCTCTCTCTCTCTCTGCAACAGGGAGGACACTGTGAGAAGGCAGCCGTGTACAAGCCAGGAAGAGAGCTCCCACCAGGAGCCGAGCCTGCCAGACCTTCATCTGGGACTTGTAATCTTCAGAACAGTGAGAAAATAAATTGTGATTCACAGTCAACTGTATTTTGTTATGGAAGCTCAAGCAAACTAACACAGAGACCTAATGCTTAAAGCAATCTTTTTTATTAAATGTCATCGTTAATCTTTACCTATATACATTTTGCTATGTAAAGCATGGTGATTTGCACCCTGTGATGAATAAGAATAAAAAAGTATTGATTTTCTCTAGACGTTAACAGGACAGGTCTGACCTCTGGCCTCTGTAGACCACTCACTCACAGACCATCTTTGTTGAGCCAGGAGAAAGGGGTCAAGGAAAATGATTGTTATTTAAAAACATTATTACTTCAAAAAATTTCATCCTTGATTATATTGAAAATATTTTCTTCAATAAACGGAATTTATACTTCCATTCTAACCGAAAATGCAAAGTTGTTCATCTCTCCCCTAGGGATTTGCTTCTTGGTGGCACTTTCAATGGTCTCACCACAGTTTGAGCATAATAAAATCTCATTTTATGCTCCAAGGCAGGAAGCATCCTAAAAGCTCCTCAACCAGTATAGTACACAACCTTGTGGCTTTTGGACTAACATTTAGACTTCACAGGGGCGCCTGTGTGGCTCAGTTGTTTAAGTGTTCGACTTTAGCTCAGGTCATGATCTCACAGTTTGCGGGCTCAAGCCCCTCATCGGGCTCTGCACTGACAGCATGGAGCCTGCTTCAGATCCTCTGTCTCCTTCACTCTGTGCTTGCACTCTGGCTCTCTTTCTCTCAAATATAAATGAACATAAACATTTTTTTAATAATTTATAAATAATAATAGACATCACAAAAAAGAAAGGAAACAAAATGGAGTGCTTATTTCCTTAGAAACATTCAAAACATCTTCAGATGTTTACTGCCTGTTTTCTTTTAACTTTTTTTTAATGTTTATCTATCTTTGAGAATGAGAGAGACAAAGTGTGAGTGGGGGAGGGGCAGAGAGCGAGGGAGACCTAGAATCCAAAGCAGGCTCCAGGCTCCTAGCTGTCAGCACAGAGCCTGCTGTGGGGCTCGAACCCACAGCCCATGAGATCATGACCTGGGCCAAAGTCAGACACTTAACAGACTCAGCCACCCAGGTGCTCCTACTGCCTGTTGTAAAGAAAGAAAGAGGAGGGGGGAAATGGAAGAGAACCAAATAGCACAGTTGATTTAATCCCTGTTATCACTTTAACCTCTTTTGCCACCTTTTGGAGCTCCAATGGGTCCAAGTACTCCAAGAAAACTCCACAAAATTTTGTTTGTCCTACACATATTCTCTGGGAAAAGGACCCTGAGCTTTGAACATAATCTCCAAGGAGGCAGGGACCAAAATAGGTTAAGAACTTCTGTTTAAGAGTTTACTTTGGTGAACTGCATGAACATTTCTCCTTGAACCTGGCCAGGTATAACCAGCCGCCTCACTTCATGCATACCACCTAAGACCTCAGAATGTGTACCAGGCCCTGCTTCCACTATTTAATTAATGACCTTGTGCCTTGGTTTTGTTTCCTGGTGTGTGTATGCTAGCTGCCTCCGACTTCTCCCTTCTTCCAAGTTGTCCTATTCTGTGTATCCCAGCTAAATAAGAGTGGACCCAGATGGCTGTCTCCTTATCTGAGAGAGACCCCAGGGTGAAACTTGTCATGTTTACCAACATACCCTTTTCTCATACTCCTCTCCACTCTTTTGGGGCCATCTGAATTTGCCACGGTGCTGGATGGGTCGTCCATTTCTCTATTCTCTTTTTATTTAGGTCTAGGAACCATCAGTTTGGTGAGGCACCTTCAAGGACGTCAGATCGCAGTCCTGTACCGCCATTCCCACGTGGTGTAAAATTCTCTTGCATTCCCACCCTAAGGATGTTGTGAGAAAGAAATGGCGTGCTCTTAGCTCCCCAGAGAAGATTATATAAAAGTAATAAAAGCATTCTGTTGCTGTCGATTATTTTTGGCACGATTACACCAAGTCGCAGAGTCCCCTGCACCTGCCTTGACCATTCCTTGCCTAAGAGTCAGCAGAGACACAAGCACCCACTGACGTTGCGCCCCTCACTCCGTCCACCCTCTCCAAGCCCCACATTCCAAGTTGTCTCCTTGAATATAACTCCGGATCTTTCTACAAACCCATTTGTACTGATGTAAAGAATTGAAGCTCAGTCTCTCCTGTACTCTTCTCACCGGTAAATTCTCAGATCTCTTCGTTTCCTTGCAGAGCGCAGAGGGGTAAGTTGTGTATGCGTGTGTGTGTGCCCGTGTGTGTGTGTGTGTGTGTGTGTGTCCGTGTGTGTGCGTGTGTGTGTGTGTGTGTGTGTGTGTGTGTGTCCGTGTGTGTGTGTTTCCTAAAACTTGCATAGAGCCCATGAGTGTGGCTCTCCGACCTCCTGGATCTCAAGGCAAGGAGTGGGCTCGCCGGAGGGTCCCCGACACCCCGCACCACGTACAGCAAGCTCGGCCCCGGGGGGGGCGGCGGCGGCGAGAGGCAGACGAGCTCGGGGCCGAGAGCCGGGCCCCGAACAGCAGCGCCCCGACCCCCCGACCCCCCGTGCCAGGCAGGGCCCGCCGTCCCCGCGGGAAGGCCGGCCGGCCGGGCCGAGGGCGCTGCGCCGCGGCCTCCGGCTCCTCCTCG